CAAAAAAGAAAAAAGGGCCATGGAAACTAATCTGTTTGTCCACCTGCGTCGTGGATAGGGCCATGCAAACTCACACAGTGGGCCCTACCCGGGGAATATTCGGTAGGCGTCTGCTTTGATCCAGTGGACATCTATTATTCGCATCTATTAACGTCCCCTAATCGCCAAACCCAATTATCACTTTTACCGCAGTAATTAAAAGTAATCATAGTAATTAGTCCACACGCAACCAACTTCGAAATATAACTCCATCCACGTACGTCTAAACTTTTTTGGGTTAAAGATTAGTGCTCAGCTCAATCATTGATTCTAAATAAAACTATTACAAATTTACAACCTCCCCCAGGCAAATCCAATATGCCCATACCATCCAATCACAATCCGACATCACTCCACTCACATACATTATCTCCTTCATCTATTGGTATGTGTACAATTGTAATAACTAATAATATAATACATTATCTCCATCATATATTGGTATGTAGTATATATATAATTGTAATAATTAATATAATAATCCCAAGACATTTCCTATATAATACTCATGCTCTAATGAAACCATCAAAATTAAAACACCACACATATAATATAACTTTCATAATTTCACNGTTCAACCAATCCCGAGTGGCTTTTCAGGTCCCTCTTTGAGATTCTTTTGTATTGTATCAACGTTATATTTGTTTGTGGTAATAATAAATGTTTTGTGTGGTAATTGTTACAAGTACACACATACTTAATTATTTATTAATTTTTTTGGCTGCCGGTAATGATGTATTTTAATTTAGTATAGACATAAACACATATTTATTTCAATTATGTCTTTTTTTTTTTGTAGATAGCACAAGAAACTTTTGTTGTATATATAAATTAGGTGCAAGATAAGTAAATAGAAATTGAAATTAATTTTGATGTGGCAGATGGGGAGAATTGGGGAAGAGTTAGACATAGACTTTGTGGTTTCAACAGGTGATAATTTCTACGATAATGGTTTGAAGGGGGAAAACGATCCTCTTTTTCTGGACTCATTTACCAACATTTACACTGCAAAAAGTCTGCAAAAACAATGGTTTGCAGGTAATATTGAAAAGCTAACATATATTAATTATATATAGTCACGAACAACATATCTTATATCTCTTTTTTGTTTTCTAAAAAAAAAATATGCAATATTGTAACATAATTTTTTTTAAAAATTTTGTTAATAAAAAAAAGTTGGTCTGATTAATCATTTTGGCATGCAGTTCTAGGTAATCATGATTACAGGGGAGATGCAGTTGCGCAGTTGAGTCCTTACCTGAGGAAAATCGACTCCAGGTGGCTTTGCCTCAGGTCTTTTGTGGTTGATGCAGGTACGTCATATTTTTATTTACTTTTATTTTATTCGATTCTACTTTTCTTGATTATAGAATTAGGTTATGTTTAGTAAAATTGGCTGAAATAAGGTATATGATAGCTGATAAGCTAGCTTATGGCCTATAAGTGATTTTCGTTCTTATTGTTTATAGCTTATAATTTATAGCTGAAAAGCTAGCTTATATGATAAAAGTGTTTGGTAAAATTAGGTGAAATAAAAATTTCAACGAGCTTATTTGAAACGCTACCCTAACAAGCTTATTAGATAAACTCGAGCTTTTTAAAAACGTGTTCCTACCAAACAAAACTTATTTGAATACAAGAAACTTAGAACCTAACCAAATAAGCTATAAGTTAGATTATTTATCTACCAAACATAGCCTTAACACTGCTTATCTTTCTTGTTCGTATCATAATTTTCTTGATTTCTTTTCTTGCTAACACTTTTCTCTCCAGAAATTGCTGAATTTTTCTTCGTGGACACGACTCCTTTCGTGGATAAATACTTCACCGAACCTGAAAATCACAAATATGATTGGCGTGGCGTGTCTCCTGTAAATAGCTACACGGCCAACTTGTTGAAAGTAAGTCTCGTCTTATGTATCAAAATAGTGTGGAGATGGACTAAACACCTAACTAATTATTAGTCAATCAAAGCTTATGTGGAACATTCTACTTTTAATAGCTATATATATTCAAATTTAATCAAGGATTTACAAAAAATATTTTCATTCGGATATGAATAATATTTGTAAGTTCCTTAGCTTTGTCCCTAAAGTAAAAAATTTGCATCGCCTTTCATTTCTAATAATTTAATTGTCAATAAGAAGTTGGGTGGATGTATGATTGATTTTGATAGACATATTGGATATATATAAATCATATATAATATGGGCATGTGCCATAACGGCCAAGCCTTTTATGTTCCATTTTATAGTAGTTAGCTATTGCTAGTGGAGCCACAATTGCCTGCTACTGATTGGTCCATTTTATCCGAACAAATCTTTCCTTATTTGCATTGCTGATGGCTACCCCTTTTTGCGAGTAAATTTAGCAATATAAAATCAATAGAGAATTTGAATTTATTTCCAATCAATAAAATAATAATTCTTGAGGGGCCAACAAGTCATTAATATAAAGTTAGAATTACAACATTCTCACTGTCTGGTGTACACGTTATTAGAGCATCTCTAATGCATTCTTTTGAAAGAGTAAAAAGTTATCCACCTAATCTAGATAGAAAGTGTGTGAATAATATATCCTCCAATGCATTAGATTATGGGTCCTTTCATGCTTACGTGTAAAAAATTAATGTTAACATTGTCAAGCTCACTTTCTAATTTCTCACATTCTTTCTAACATGATGACTCATCATTTTGATAATTATTTGACACAAATTTTGAGCTTTTCATAAACTTGGAAAAATCCCACCCTTACATTTATCCAATAAAACATTTGAGAATTTATTTGAATACAGTATAATTATTTGATGAGTTACAACTAAAATTTAAAAAATTTATCAATAATAATGTCCTTAAAAGTAAAATATTATGTTCATGATATTTGTTTGTTGAGTTATTGTAATTTTAATATTTTGTTGTTTTATTTTGAATTAATTAAAAAAATATTTATTGTGTGGTTATACATATTGTAACTGAGAAATTATTGAATAAATAATAATTTTATAAATTTGATGATATAAATAAAAATTAACTGAATCAACAAAAAATAACATCATGCATATAATTATTGGAATTTGTGGTGTTTTTCTAATATACTCTTTGATTTTATTAATAATTGAATAAATCCACATATACAAATTGTATGGTTGTTGAATGGATGCATTGGAGGCAACAATTCAAATGAAAGTCCTATTCTTTTAACATTCAGTTCATGTAGATTAACATTAATCCATTGATTGACATGTGTTCAAATTTAATTAATGTTGAAAGTTGAGCATTGGAGATGCTCTTAGGCTCCAATAATGAAGTTCTATTTACTAATAACAAAGTTATTCAAAAGTATAATTTGACAATATCATCCTTTTCAATTATTAATATTATTATTATTGTTGTTAATCACTAATATATACAGGACCTTGAATCAGCACTAATGAAATCAAAGGCAAGATGGAAAATTGTGGTGGGTCATCATGCAATTCGAAGTGTTAGCCTCCATGGCGATACTCGGGAGCTTGTTCACCGCCTTCTTCCAATTCTTCGAGTATGTCTTTTGTTGGTTTTTGTTAATTACACCTGATTATTTTTCATAAATACTAATCTAATGGTCAAAATTAATTAATTAATTGTACAAATTTTGTTGGTCTCGAAACATTAGGCGTATGAAGTAGACTTGTACTTGAACGGGCACGACCATTGTCTGGAACACATCAGCGACCGCATAAGGTAGAATAATTAATTAATAATTTTGACACATAATTCATCGAACTTATGTGCTAATAATTTTAATTAAAATGTGAGTGTAATAATATATTATATTATATTTGTTTTGCATATACATAGTCCAATTCAATTTATGACTAGTGGAGGCGGGTCAAAGGCATGGAGAGGGGATTTAAACACGAGCAATGATGGTGACTTGAGATTTTTCTATGATGGCCAAGGATTTATGTCTGTTGAGATGACAAAAAGTGATGTGGAGACAATATTTTATGATGTTCTCGGTAGAGTTTTGCACAGATGGACCGTGTCCAAGCCATCCTTTCACTCGGATATGTGAATACCTATTTAAGTTTAAGGACCAACCAAATAAATCATTTGTGTACCCTAATTAAATGAAGGGATAATTTCAGGTTAAAATGCAAGGATTTAGGTAATTAATGTAATTAATTATTTAAATTGGGGTTTGGGTATTTTATTTTTATTTTGGCGCATAATTAGTCAAATGTACCTACAAATGGGTGTGATTTGAAGTTTATGTTATGTATTATTTACTGCGTGCTTCGGTAATTTGTACAATCAAAAATGTGTCTATATATCTGATAGTGAGTTATGATGTTCAAAGTTCATTTGCTTGAGGATGTGAAAGATGCAACAAAATAATTGATTTTTCCATATATTTGTATGTATAACAAAAGAACCTGTCAGAAATTGGTTTCATAAATTAAAAGAAAATTATAAAGTAATAACTAGGGCCAATTTTTCGCAAATTTTAACTCTTTAGAAAACGCTTATAAATTTTCCGAAATTTAAGTATTTTTCCGAGCCAAACCAGATCAGTTAAGCATATCAGTATTATTTCCGAACTTAGAATTATTTCTGTGAACCCTTAGAGCGTTCCTTTATATCCGGATGAGTAATCTGATAGAGTAGAGCATCCTAGCATATTTTTGAGCATATGACGAGCATAGTACTTAGTATATTTGTTTGCTTATATTTTTATGTAGCTTGAGGAGTCAGCTACCAGCACAGCCGCACTTACTCATTTTCAAAACCGATCAGGTGGGGACCCAGTCTGGGTTATACATTGAGTTTAATAGTCGATATCACGTTCAGGTATGTATATGAGTTTTATCCACTTTGGGTTAAGGCCCAGTTTGCCTTCCCTAAGTTCTGGTGGTGGCCCAGTTTGCCCTAGTTATACCATCAGAGTGTGCACACGGTTACCGGCCAGAGAGTTCTGGGAGTTACAGTTTACTTATATATACCAGTCTGTGATATCATTATTAATATTGCTGTTTACTTTAGAATGGGTTTTTTTATGGAGTACAAGTGGATTAAGTGTAAATGAATTGAATTAATTAGGGCTGGTATCGGTACGGTTACCGAACCAATAAGACTAAACCGATACCGTACCGATTATTTCGGTAACAACAAATATGAAACCGTTACCGTACCGATAGTTATCGGTAACCGAGTTTTCGATTACCGGAAACTCGGTTCGGTATCAGTTTTTTACCGATAAAACCGAAATTTACCAATAAATATGAAATTTGATTAAGCTCGGTTCGGTAATGATTTTTTACCGAAAAAACCAAAATTTACCAATAATAAAGCCACTTGATTAAGTTCCAACATTCATCTACCATGTTCCAACATGATTAAGTCCAACATTCTAATAATAACAATATTCCAACATTCATCCACCAATAATACCCAACATTCATCTACCAATAATACAACTTACAAGAACAAACCTTCATCCACCATGTTCCAACATGATTAAGTCCAACAATTCAACAATAACAACATTTCATAATTCAAAGTTCCAACATGATTAAGAAAATTAAATAAACTAACGCAACAACATCAAGTCCAATATCACCAATCGCTCCAAATTCCAATCCGCTACTCCTCCTATATAAGAAAAAAAAATTCATAAAGAAAATAAAAATATTGTTATTATATTTTAAAAGAAATAACACTAATTATAATAAAATTAAACTACAAGAACCTCATCAATTAATTTGCTCCATGAAGTAGCACTACGTCCACCACGGTTTGATCGATCGGGTGGAGTTGTACTTTTAACTCGAGGTGGTGGCATTTCATTTATATTGGGCATGCCTATAAAATAATACAAATAAGTCAATAACCAAAAAATAATTTATGCACAATATGAATACAAAAATATTAATAAAATAATACTTACTTTGTTAATGTGTGAGTACTTGAATTACTAATTTATTAGTACTAAGTTATTTTATTAGTATCAAATTATTAATTATTAGTATTAAATTATTAACTACTAATATTAATTTTTTTTTAATTACTTATCGGTTCGGTTCGGTAAAACCATACTTTTATAGTTTATGAACCGATACCGAACCGATAACATATCGGTAACCGATGATCGGTTACCGTTTTAAATGAGTCGGTATGGTTCGGTTTTTTTTCTCGTCGGTTCGGTACGGTTCGGTTCGGTTTTTGGTTTTTGGTCAAAAAATGCCAGCCCTAGAATTAATATAGATATTGGACTTATATACGGGGAAGGTAGCGGTCCCATAGAAGGTTAAGCGCGTCATCAGATTTCATTTCAAAAACAACCGGTGATATTGTATTGTAAAACTTCATCTACCTATGAATATTTTATTAATCATAGGCACCTACTTTTATTAAAATTTTTAGAATTTGAAATTTATGATGAAATAAATCGTAAGCCAAGATATGATAAGTCATAGTTATCTAATATTAAAATTAATTCCATCTCTTATTTTTCTTAAAGAATATTATTTAATTTGTAATATATTATAATCTTACTCAAGAGTTTACCAAATAATTTATTCTAGAAATTTGAATGTTGTATATAATACTGTAGGGAATTAAATTCAGTTATTATTGAATAAACAAAATTAGTATATTTTTATTTGATACATAACGATGGATATATTATGATATTATTAATAAAAATACATATAAAGTTAATATAGTTTCAACAACAAATGAATAAAAAAAATTATATATAAAAGAATATAGTTGTTTAACAATAGGTTTATTTGTAAACTTAATTTAGCTATGGTCTATAAAATATTTATTAGTCGTTTGTAAAATCATGGAACTAAAACCACTTACGCTGAAATCTATATCTCATCGCACACGCAATGACGCTAGTTAAACTCTTATATCACATCACATTTTTTTTTACAAAGAGAGGTCGGTGTTCACGAGTGATTAGAGATAAATGTTCCATGGGTAAGAGACACTTCTTACGTCGTGCTCGAGCCACGGAACGACAACAGAATGCGAGGTTGGAAGCCGATTACACTCGAGAGAGGTCGAAGCCGCATAAGATGCTAAGCAATCCACAACAAAGTTCGCCTCACAAAAGATCTGAGAAATCTTCGCCTGCCAGTCAGGACTGAAGAGTTCTCTTATCCCTATTACAAAACCAGAATGAACCCCTTTTATATCCTCAGTATTATTGACAAATCCCACGATGATGTAATTGTCGTCTTCAGCCACTACCCGACGATACCCCAAGCTCCATACTAAGTTAAGTCCATGGAATAATCCACATAACTCTGCTCCAGTTATAGAGCATTCCCCAATGTTCATCAAGAAGCCACCGAGCCATTTGCCATGGGAGTCGCGAAGCAACCCTCCTGACAAGGCCGTACCCGATGATCTATTATGGGCTCTGTCTGAGTTTACCTTTATCCATGAATTTGGCAGTTGTTCCCACCGGACAAGCCGCTGGACAAGAGCAGTCCCTATACTATCAATCTTCTTTACCCCTTCGGTAAAGTGTAACATACTACTGATGAAAGCTCTGATTTCATTCACTTTCACAAAAGCATCCACCCCCTGATTTGAAAAATAAAAATATTTCGACAATGCCATAATTTTCACAGAGTTACGCCAAAAGTACACTCCCAGTTATCAGCATCCACAAGAGTGTAGGGCCTATTTAATAGGTTCGACATAAGCCAGGCCTTTAGCTCCAGGCGAAAAAAAAAATCAACTGCGCATCAGTTGGAACCAGGCGGAGCCAGACCTGGGTACTATTCGGGCATTCTCGGAGGACATGTAAGAGGGTTTCTTCCCTAGACGGGCATTTATGACAACACACCATCGAGAATAAATTCTTTCACTCTCTCTCAAAATTTGTCATCAGACGTGTAACGCCCCGTAGTCATGGCAATGGGCCGCACAGCCCGACGACCCAGCCCGAACCAGGCACGGTCAAACCTGTTGAGCACGGGTCCGAGCTCGGACCGGATTTTCGACGTGCCGTTTAAGGGTCATTCATTTCATGACCCTTACCCGGCGGGCCGGGCCGACGGCCCGCTTTTTCAATTTTTTTTTAATAATTTTCTATCTTTTTATCCACAAATGACAACCCGGCCCGACCCTTGTTTACCAGACCATTGACTTGACACGAGCATAGGTCCGTGCCGGGTCCAGGTCCTTGTTTTTTAGTCCGGAGGCCTGCCGGACCAGGCCATGACCCGGCCTTTGTTTTGGCCATGTCTAACAATACGATCATTTGCATTTCATTCTTAGCTCGACTTGTTAAAATGTATAATCCAACAATCGAATTAAATAGATGTCCTCCTCTATTTAATTTGCCGTTCAAATTTTAAGATTAAGTAGATGTTCTCGTCTACTTAATTATATTTTGCTTAAATTTTTTTAATCGCTTAAATTGTCTTAGTTATTTAGCTGCTTAATTAATTTCCTTAGTTTGGTTAATTGTTTGATTGCTTGTTTATTTTATATTCCTAAACTAGAAGCCTCTATGCACAACCGGCCCACTGTAGTAATGTGTTATTAATGTTATTATTATTATATCATGATTTATATAATAAGNTTCAGAGCCTATTTACATTTTTTTTTTTTCCATTGGTAGGGGTAGACAAAAATCATGTCAAAAAGAACATATATAAATGCTAAACACCATAATCTTTAGAACTTACTACAATTGATTTTGTTCCATCACCAAGGGTAGCCAAAAGGCATTAGTTATGTCTATACATAACCATTCAAAAACAAAAATTTTGAAACATATAATCGCCGATAGATGTTATTTAATCTTAAGGCTTCATGAACATTAGAAACCTTCATCAGCTATTTTGCAAACCTTCGCTACACACAGAGGATCGAGATTTTGGTGAGTATGATCTGGTTAGTTCGATGTTCAGCATATAAGTGAGACCATCTTTGAAAATTCACAGAATGAGTGTAGAAATTTTTTATAACAGATAATATCAGACTGCATAAGGTTACAAAAATCATGATAATAATAAATATGTCATCATCCAAACTGATAATTACAAATTGGCTTCGCATGCAACCTGAAGATTATAATATGGTCAAGCTTTTTTTTCCTGCAAAGACATTTCCATCAAACATCTCAATCAAAGAAAATACATTGATGCTTTTATGAACAATATAAAAAATTTCTAAGTCAGAAGATGTAAAAATATGACGTAATTTTATAGCAAACGTCTCAATCCAAAAATATTACCTCATTGTCCTCAGAAAATTGTCAAGTACTATACCGAAAACATATTTAAGATAGTAATGATAGTCAAGCACACTTTCTCTATGCAATCAATTAATGAAATATTTAGCATTTACCTCCACAAGGTGAATTTCGCAACAGTGTATGGTTAATAATGAGAGCATACGGAACACCTTCAAGTATAATCAAACAAATCGAAGTCCATAAGTCCGCAACATAAATCTAGCACAATTTTTCACTAAAACAAAAAGTATATAATAAACAATGATATGTGCACCAATTCATTAATTACAAATTTTAGAAAGCAGTTATGCAAGTCCTAAAAAAAGTAAGACAACGGCGTTTTAAGGGACAAAAATGAGCTTTACAGACACTTCATTCATCCTTAGCAAAAACGGCATCGTATAGAGTTAATAAGACAACGGTGTTTTAAGGACAAAGCGGACACGTCCAAATACAACTCACAAAAAAGAAGATCACAATTTTTTTTTTCCTTAAATCAGACAAAGATGGCACATGAAACCAAAAACCAGAATTACAACAATATTAGGATAATTTTAATTTTTTTTTAAAAAAAGTAATCTTTGAGGTAAGCTCATTAGGGCTAGTGATAGATTAATCAAAATCTATGCAAATTGAAAATTACTTGTAAAATGAGCCCATTAAAACCCTCTGAAACAACAGTTAACAATGTTCGTCTTTTTTTTAAAAAATTTGAAGCTCAAAAAACCTGATGAGTGCAGAGATGGAGATAACGTTGTCGGGATTGATGCCGAACTGAAGAAGCCCACAGGCCAGGCCTGTACCTCATTCGACATATGCAGCCCGGTTTTCACTGTCCCGAATTATGGCGATAGCAAAGTCGAATACTCTCCGCTTCTCCACGCAACCGGTAGGAACTTTTACCTTCAAGCACGAAGAATGCGGACTTCCACAGGACAAAACAATCACTGAATATCTGTCCTTTACATGAAACAAATAATTTGGACAAAATTTACAATGCTTTAGTTGAACAAAACAAGAACGGTTNTGATACAACAGGAAGCCAAAATTGGATGAAGATGGAAAAAAAATTGTTAAAAGCCATATATTTGTTCGGAATCACAACTATGGGCGGAGATAAAAACGAAAATATGAAATGACGAGATTATCGATCTGGTTAAACTGAGATGGCAACACCTAAATTACGCTGACAAAACTACGTCATTATCTCACCCATGAAAATAACGTCATTTTATGCCACCGTTTAGAGACAAAAAAAACTATGAAACGACAATGTTTTCCAAGAAACTAAAACAACATCATTTTAGACATAAAATGGCGTCGTTCCGATGTCCGGCGATACACATCACACAGAGAAGGCTCTCAGCTTCTTTTTATAAAATAAGAGTACATATAGATTTCCCCTATGTGTAGAATTCTGATAAAAAATGGGAAAAAAAGTTCTATAAAAAAACATACTGGAATTAGGCATCAAACTGTCAACTCAGCCAATTTTGTTGTGTTCAGCATATTGTGGTCACCATTTCATATTACTAATTGTCAAAAATCACCATAACAAACAGAATCATTCAAAACT